TCCGATTTCCTCCCCGCCCCTTTCTCGTTCTCAGCGTTCTAATCTGGTTAACTTTTCTCTCTCAGAATTACTCAATTGGATAGTGCGAAACCCATCTCGCCTAAGTTCTAATTGGGTTTTTAAGCCGGTGTTCTGTATAATTAAAGCCTTGATTTTGTTTTCTTTTTGCTCGATAAGGGTAGAACCATATTGAGTTAAGTCTTGGATTTCGGCTTGTAATTGGGTAATTTGTTTATTTTTGGCCGCATCCGCACCCAGAGCCTTTAAGCGAATTTCTAGATTAACGTCTAACTGCTCGCCCAGAGCAGCTAATTCTTGCTCTAACCGGCTAATTTCTTGTTTTTTTTCTTCCAAAATTTTTGCCAAGATTGCTTCTTTAATAGTCGAAGATTGAGGTTGCTGAGTTAATTGTTTTCGCAAAAGCTCCAGTATTCCGGTGTCTCATTCTAACTGGGGGGCAATTCCTAGTTCCTGGGCTCATTCGGCGACTTCTTCTCATTGGCTAATTAAGTTCGTGATTTGTTGACTAGTTAAATCGGTTTGGGAAGATTGGTCGGTAGTAGCAGCATTCTCTACTCTTTTCAAGAGGTCTTGCTTGTCACTCTGCAGAGCCCTTACTCGTTCTTTCAAGTTGTCAATTTTTTCTTGGGCTTGTTGTTTTTCTTTAGCTGAGTTTTTGATTTTCGTCGCTAATTCTTCCAGACTGGCTACTTTTTGTTTAACTAGAAAATCACTTTTTTCCTTGAGCAAAGCCGAGTTGGTCTTTTCCAGCTCTTGAACCTTTTTCTGAGCTTCTTCGAGTTGTTTCCATACTTCTGCCTTGGTTCCTTTCATTATTAAGAAATTTTTTAGCCCTAGAAGTTTAACATTAGCGGCTGCGAAGTGATAAAGGACGAACCTCTTTTTTTAAGTGGTGGTATCAAAACTTAGTTACTTGTTCTTCATTATAATTACTTTGCAAATTTATTCAAAAAGTTGGGGTGGTATGAAAATATAAGGCTAAGCGAGTAGCAATATCCTTGGTCAGGTCTCTCTTAGTGGCAATAATTTCCTTAGTTTCTTTTTTCGAAATATTAAGGTCATGGGCTAATTGCTGGGGAGTAATTTGAGCCGGAATTAAAAACTCTTCCTTTAAGATCTTTCCCGGATGATAAATAACTGGTTTTTTTTTAGTCATGTTAACTTATTTTTTAATGGTAATCAGTAATTTCCACTTCGTAAGCCTGACCTTTTTCTCAAACGAAAACTATTCGGTATTGCTTGTTAATTCTAATGCTGTAATAACCTTTTCATTTTCCCCGCAAAGCTTCTAAACGATTTTGGGGAGGGGAAACTAATTCCAAAAGGTTTTTAGTATGATTTAATTGTTCTAGCTTTCTTAAAGCCACCGCTTGAATATTTTT